AAAATCTATTGACCTCCTGAGAACCACAGCCTATTTTGTTATTCTGCCACACAAGGAGATAGGCAAGCCCTATCATTTATGAAACGCTTCCTTACCTGGACTTTTTAATCATCATTTAAAGTTTACACACTATCCCCGAAGCCAGTGCACTTAGAGTCTATAAAAACAATTCAGGGACTTTTTTTTCCATTTAAAAAGTCAATAAAAAGTCACTATTCTGCATTGCTTATTGCTAAGATACTGTCAGCACTGTGACCAAGGGAGGCCCCTCACACTGGGATGGCAGAGTCAGGCTTTATGTAACCAGAGTATTCAGAGCAGAAACAGCAGAGCTCCCGTTTAAAGGGTCTGTGTTCAGTGCTGGCCACAAAAGGTGCATCTTCTCCAGGAACTCGAGGCGGTTTCCCACATAAAAGGCTCCGGGTTCAGGTAGCAGCTGGTGCACCCCAGGGCAGGCTGGCCCCCCACACTGCCCCCTCCCACCTGGCAGCTGAGGAGCCATGGCTGCCCCGAGCTGCTGCCCCAGCACATCGGGACCCTGCTCCTTCACCCAGCGCCTGGCACTGCAGCACTGCACAACCAGTGCAACGAGGGGACACGGCTCTGGAGCCCCTTCCCCAGCACCAGTCCTGGCAGGGGCCCTGTGGGGACAGCCTGGGCTCAGGAAACCCCTCTGGTCGTGTCAGTGCAGTGTGGGAGCCGGGCAAGCAGCAAGAGACACCTCGGCACCCAGGCCACCGAACGGCACCTGAAATCCTACTGTAACCATCTGCAACACTGACACTTCCCAACAACAGCATCCCGCTTACTTCCAAAGCTTATGGGTTGCTTCAAATGTAAAGGACAAGAATCCAAGGCTGAGCTCCTGCATGTCACTGCTTTGTCACCAACTCCAGGGGAGGAGGGAAAATCACAGCCTTTTCCTCCCAATAAATCCCGTTGATCATGAGCAATAACCTCCTCCTCCTGAGGCCTTCCCAGCCCCATCTCACAGATCTGTTAACATGACACTCGACTACAGCAAAGGAGACACCCTCAAGGGAGATGATTCCCGAGCAACAAATGCATCAGGAACACATAAACACGAGGCACTAAACCAACCTCCTCTACGCCTCAGTCTGCAGCACTTTGCACAGACAGTTCACCCATCACAGCCCAAGCTGCACTTCAGCACGGCACCACTGTGCCACATCTTGGTTTATTCTTTACCCTGCTGTCAGCTGCAGTACAGGTAAGCCTGTGCTTTACAGGGATTAATTTCATTCCGGTCTACAGGAACCATTTCCATCCTACCCAGAACTGGTTTTGCTTCTCTTTCCCCAAAGCGCATCTCATTAAAGCCAAGCTCCACAGAGGCTCCTGAAATCCTCCAGGATTCATTCCTGAGGAACAAGGCTTTGCCCAGCACAGCACACAAGAAAGGTTAAGCTGCAGTGACTACATGCAGAACTATTTATCTTGAGGCATATGGGATTGTATCTCACGCATTGAGATATTTTCAGGAACATAAGGTCCTTTTTGACAATTTCTAAGGCATGACAAAATGTCATCTCAGTAGGAAGCTTCTAATTCCAGTTGATTCAATCACAAGTCACGGAAGTTGAATAGAACTTGAAAAGAGAAGAATGCTGGAACTGCAGAGAGCAGTTTCATGTATGAACCTCTTTTTTTCCCTAATATTTTAAAATATAAAAAGACACTCTTTCTTCAAGGATCTTTTTGTGAAGATCCATTATTAATTCAACCAAGTGAGATCCAAGGAGCCTGCATGTTTTGCTTCCCCCCAAGGACACTGAGAAAGGGAAAGGGAATGTTTATGGATTTGTTTGGGCAACATTTAGATTGTTGCCAAAAACTCTTGAGAAATCCAAACTGAAACTAACAAGACATGCACTTCATTCACAAATATTTTCAACTGTGAAGGGCTGTAATTTTTTAAATATAGTGATATTTAAAGACTGCATGAGAGCACCTAAGCTATGTGTAAACATTAATTCACAGAATCACAGAGGGGCTGAGGTTGGCAGGGGCCTCTGGAGGTCACCTGGCTCATGCCCTACTCGAGCCAGAGCCGGTTGCCAGGCCCTCATCCAGACAGTTCCAAACAGCCCCACAGATGGAGCTCCAACAGTCCCCTGGGCAGCCTGGCCTAGTGCTGATGTCACCCCCACAGTGAAAAACTGGCAGGACACGAATCTGATTTACAGCTGATTTTAACTAACAGACTAATCTAACCCTTTTTACAGTTCAGGTTTCCAAAGAGGCTGACCTATGAGCACACGTGGGCTGCCGTGGCAAAGTGCAATGAATGGCTGGATCGTCCCCTGTGACTCAGTGATCCCCAAACTGCTCCTAACGCTCATCGGAGCCCTTGGGCAACACAGAACAGATGCCCACACAGAGGGCACCCCCAGGAACCACAGCTCCCCACAGGGACTAGTGCAGACCAAACTCTGCAGATGCGCCGGCACACGCGCAGCCCCAGCCGTGGAGCAGGAGCCCACGTGCACTGATTGTGCAAGCAGCAGGGAACCTCTCCTCTGGTCTGCAGAAGACACTGCTGGTTCTCTGCAAAGCCCTTCAGCCAGTCCGGCTTACATGGCAATCACTGCATTTCCCAACCAGCAAATGTGCCAGGAGTGGAAGCCCTGCACAAGGCCAACTCAAAACCCTCCAGAAAACATCTACAACAGAACTGCAAACTACATTTCAAACCCAAGCAGGAACGAAGGAAATTAATAGCCTGAATATGTCCACACACAATTCAGCCTCTCCCAGCTAGAAGAGCTCTGCTTTTCAAAAGAAAATGCCACACCAAGTCCAAACCAGTGCTAATGGGAAGTCATTACCCACACAAACCAGCACGCAGTGAACTGTCAGCACACCTGCCTTCCTCAACCCTCTGGACCTTTACCTCTACCGGAGCTTATTTACAGCCGCCCTCCCGAGGGAGAACCTCCTCCTCCTGTTCTCAGCTCTCCTCTGCCCATTACCACAGACTCACTCGACAGCGGTTCAGGTTCTTGGCATAATGAAACTACAGGCTGTGAGTATTGCCAGCACCCTTCTCCCTGCCCCTCCTCACCCTGGTCCCTTTGCCCTCTCTCTTCCACTCTATTTCCATCTGTGGACTGCTGCTGCAGTTTTAGATGGTCACTGCTCTGTCCTGAGAAGTGTCCAGCACCGTCAGACCCACCCCTCAGGCACTGTGGCTGTGGTCATCGCTGCAGCTGAGAGACCAGAGCCTTGCTTTCCCTTTTACCAACAGCTTGGTTTTACCTCGGGAGGTGAGTGACAGACGCATCTCCCTGCCCGCTGTTCCCCAGCACCAGCTGGGGCTGAGCACCATGGCAGGAACAGCCCCTGCTCTCCCGAGATCCCTCCCCTCGGAGCCAAGGTGAGAGCGGCACAGCCAGCGCGTTTCTCCCTGGATCCGTTTCTCTTTAGCATTCTGTGCGAGTACCAGCATATGTCGAGGCGGGAGGCAGGGACAAAAGACACGGCGAGCGCAGCACAACAGAAAAGGCAGCAGCCAGGCTCCAGCATGATGTTCCCAGCCACCTCCATGAGACCTGGCAGGCTGGCTCCAGGTTTCCCTTCTCCTCACAGACCACACTTGCCGATAGAAGCACCAAAGCACCTCCAATTAAACGTATGGGGTGCCCACATTGGGACAACAATCCCCATTGGCCTTGGCTGTTCCTCCAGCCTCTGCAGGGCCCCCAACAACCAGGATGCCCCAGAAGCAGGCAGGATGCCCACAGACGCTCCAGCCCCCCGGGAGCACGCAGGATGCCCACAGACCCTCCAGCCCCCCGGGAGCACGCAGGATGCCCACAGACCCTCCAGTCCCCCGGGAGCACGCAGGATGCCCACAGATGGCTCAGCAGTGGGCCCGGGTGACACATGGGAGCTGGCCCAGAGCTGCTCAGGGATTACCATCAGTCACCCGCATCCTCACAGGTGAGCTTAACGAAACAGCCCTGGGAAAGAAGGTTCTCCCCAGGTGCAATCAATACTCGTTATCTACATCACCCAAGGCCCCAGCATTGCCCTCCCTGCTCCCCTACCTCACACACCTGCAGAGCATTATCACTCTGCTCTCAGCTGTATCAATCAACAACAGAACGAATCCCCCCCAGCAAAACACCCATTACAGCTCAAGAACCTCCTTTCCAATGATAATTAAACGTTACAATCATTAGACTTGGTGCCACAGAAATACAGGTAATAAACACTGTCTTTCAGCTTCACAAACCAAAGACTTCTTTTTTTAAATGTCAGTTTCTTCTACACCGCAAACAAACTAACGGATTACCCATCGCGTTCGGCCCCATAAAACCGGATGCAATGCTGTAACAATTTTTATTCGCTCCTGTATGAGTACAAGCAATATGTGCGCTGCTACCAGCTGATATATCCTGAAACCACAGCCCAGCAACGCAGCCTGCCCACTGCTGATGCTCCATCACACTGGCTGCTAGGGAAAGGGGCACCGACCAAGGCAACGAAACAAAAAGGGCATTAAACAGCATTTTTAACATTCACCTAAAATAAACCGGACTGTTCTGCTCACGCCTGTGCCAGTCTCGTTCCGCAAAAGACATAGGCTGATAAAGCCGGCACACGGCGATTAGTTATCGCGGGTCCTACCCCACTTATCGGCTCCATCTGCACCGGGACCAGGCTGTGTCTGACACAGCTCCCGGCGCTCCGGCCCCGCGGCCGCTCCCCGGGGACAGCGGCGGCGCTGCGGGAGGGGGCGGAGAGGGGCTCTTTGTTCGCCGCCGGCCCGGCCGGGGCCCCGCACGCTGCGGCGGCCGCACCTGCCGGGGCTGCGGGCGGCGCTGCCCGGGCCGGGCCCGGAGCCCCGCGGGGCGGGTGGCGCTCGCCCTCCCGGACCGACCCTCGACCTTCGCTCCCGCCGACGGGGCCCCGCCGCACCCTACACCCCGCACCCTACACCCCACACCCCGCACGCGGCCGCTGCCCCGACTCACCTCGTCCTCCGAGAGCCCGTACACCGGTTCCGTCGCCGCGGTCGCCATGGAGCCGCTCCCCGACCCGCCGAGGCCGCCTCCTCCTCCTCCTGCTGCCGCTGCCGCCGCCGCCCCGCTGCTGCCGCTGGCCCGCGGGCGGCGGAAGGCGCCGGGAGCCGAGCCCGGCGGGAAGGGGCCGGGGCCGGGGGCGGAGCCGCCCGCTCTGCCGCCGCCGGCCGGGGCTGAGCGCGGCCCCAGGGACGGGGAGCGCCGGCGGGGCGTGGAGAGCAGCGGGCCGGCCCAGCAGAAGCGGGAGGGGCGGCGGGGAGCGGCACAAAGCGCTGGGCATCCCCGCCCCGCTCCGCGCTCCGCCCCGGGGACGGGCCTGAGGGGGCGCGCGGGCGGGGCCTGAGGGGGCGCGCGGGGCGACCGTTAGGGGGGCGCGAGAGGGGGCGCGCGGAGGGCGAGCGGAGCGGGCTTTGAGGGCGCGCGGGGCGCGCGCGGGGCGGCCGTTGGGGGAGCGCGCGATGGAGCGCGCGGGGGCGCGAGGCGGGGCTCGAGGGGGAGCGCGCGGGGGGCGCGAGGCGGCGGCGGGAACGGGAGGGGCGCGCGGGGGGCGCGTGCGCTGAGTTGGCACGCGGGGGCAGCGCGGGCAGCGGGCACGCGGGGAGGGCGCCCCCCAGCGGGCGGGAGCGGCGCCGCCGGGGCGGGGCTGCGGGACCGGGATGCGCCCCGGGATGCGTCCTGAGTGTGCCCCGGGATGCGGGACCGGGATGCGTCCCGGGATGCGCCCCGGGATGCGTCCCGGAATGCGTCCTGAGTGTGCCTCGGGATGTGTCCTGAGTGTACCCCGAAATGTGTCCCGAGCGTGCCCCAGGATGTGTCCCTAGTGTACCCCGGGCTGCATCCCGATCATGCCCCGGGATGCGTCCCGGGATGCGTCCTGGGATGTGTCCCGGCATGTGCCCCGGGATGCGTCCCGAGTGTGCCCTGAAATGTGTCCCGAGTGTCCCCCGGGATGTGTCCTGTGCCCGAAATGCGTCCCGGGCTGTGCCCCGCTGCGAGCCGACGGCAGCGGGGCAGGGATGGGCAGGAGCGAAGCCGCCGCTGCCCATGGAGCTCCGGGGCACTCGGAGGTGGTCCCCCGGAGGTGGTCCCTCGCTATGGCGTTTCATCCCTCGCCATCACAGTTTTTAGGGAAACAATGCTATGGGCACCTGGAGCGAGGGCACTTCTGGGCGAAGTCAAGTCATGCTTCAGTTCTAAATTAGGCACTGCTTTGATTTCTGCCCCCGAGCCGGCCCGGCCCCCCGGCCGTGCCCCTCCCTGCACTAATCTCCCATTTACGGTCTCTCCTGGCAGGACCGTGGTGCTGAAGCACAGCGTAAGGAGGAGTTCGATGGCAGCGCTGCCCAGACCCCTTCATGCTCTCCTGCCTTTACCTTTAAGTGCACTGTGTGTGCCACCAAAGCCACGTGGGGCCCCTGGCACGGACCAGGTGTGTCAGCACAGCCCAGCCCAAGGGTGTCCAGAACACTCTGGGCAGGTGCCACTGGCTCTGACTTCAGCAGCCCACCCCTGTGTGCTCAGGCACCTTGTACCTGCTCCTGCTCCAGGGAGGCAGGGCAGAAGGGCAAGAGCAGATCCCTTGTTCTGGAGAGGTTCCACAGCAGTCCAGGGGCCAGAAAGCATTTCTCCAGCCTTTCCAGAACCCTTCTGGGGCTGGAAGGATGTGATCTCTGCCCAGACAGCAGTGCCTCAGAGCTGTTAAAGTCCAGCTTGGGGAGGCATCATCAGCCTTTGTACTCCCAGAGTCCCTCCCGGTTGTAAACGACACGTGGTGCAGTTTGTGCCACCAGGTCTGGGCAGGGGCTTCCCTGGCCCAGTCAAACTGCTCCTGTTTTCCCTGCCAAGGCATCTCCTCGGATGGTCTGGTCCAGAGGAGCACCTGGCACAAGGCTCATTCCACAAGTCCCATGTCAAGATAAACTCAGTTTTATTCCTCTTTGTCCCAAGCTCAGTAGATCATTCCCAACCATGGATGTAGCTTTTCCCCCATGCCTTTCACTCCCCTACTTGGTTACCTGAACAGAAGCAGCTCCACCTGCTCCCATCCCTGGGTGCCAGGGAAAGCCAGGATTTCAGGAGTCCTTCCAGGCAGTTCCATGAATACATCTCAGTTCTTGGCCTCCTGTATCCTCCTGTGCTGACAGCTGACACCCCGAGCTGGAAGCACCAGGAACCTGGCAGGGACTCTCAGGAATGTTTCTGTTTCTGAGGGACAGAACGAAAAAGAATCAGGTCAGTGTAATTCGACAATAACCGGACTGTAATCCCAGCACTGCAAAGTGATCCAGGGAGATGTGGGAATGCAGATCCTTCCTGCAGCTCATGCTCACGGTGCGCTGCCAGGCCCTCTCCTGTGCCTCTGGAACCACAGCCACGGCTGTTTCCTTCCAGCTCCCAGCACCTGCCCTGCTGGTGGTGTAAGTCAGCCAGCACTCCCATCAACAGGTGCTCCCCAGGGAAAAATACACCTGTACCTGAGCAGAGCAGATCTCTGATGCCAGAGCAGAAAATTAGTGCTCTCTGTCACCAACAACCAGACTGGATTGCAAAGCTTCAGTACCAAATCCGGGCTGCAGATCCTTGTTTGTTTGCCTGTGAATGTTACATGCATAATTCCTCCCTGGAACTGTGTTTACAATAATGGATGGCCCTGGAGAGATGTAATTCCTGTGAGACTGCTGATAGCAGAAATCTCCAGGTGCAGCTCAGATGATTTATAACGGGCCTCTTTATAGAACAAAGCCCCATGAATTATTTACAATTTTTCCGAGAAAAAATAGGTTCAATATTATATTATGGCTGGCAGTTCTCCATGGAAGCTTCAGCTCCATCCACCTGTACAGGATGGGGAGCAGTGGGAGCCATGGGGATGCAGAACTCCCTGGAAGGTGTGTATGTGCCAGGACAGGTGTCTGCCAACTACAATTATTACAACAATGACAACGGAAATAAACATCTGGTGTGGTTTGTTCTTTGTTTGTTTGTTTGTTTCTTTAACCTTTCAGGTTTCTTATTAATGAGGAAACATTTATGGGAGGCTCATGACACGTTCTGTGAGCAGGTTTTCCTTTGCAGCCCCTCAGAAGGAAGGGAGCCAGGGCTGCCTGGCCACAGTTCAGCCCCACACTCGGAGCCCAAAGGGATTTAAACGTGTTTTTTTTACATGAATCTGGAAATATTTCCCCAAGTATCCTGCATCAACTTGCACATTAAAAGCAGTTAGAACAACACATCTATTCTCAACCTGATCAGGTTCACTGCAGTGCCATTCTGCATTGCAAAAGCTCAGCCCTTGCCAGTATTTGTGGCTGTTCTTTGTTTTCCTGCTGGACTTAACTGTACCAGCTGTTCCCCAAATATTGGGAGATGCTACTTAGAAGGTCACTGTAACATGCCAATAGAGAGACTTTACACTGTAAATCCCTCGTACTTTTAATCACCCACTGACAGCAGACACAAAGACAATCCAAATAAACCGTGATCTCCCCAAATACAGATGGTTTGGATTGTAGAGAATTGGCTTGAACAGATTAATAGAGCCCCGACCTAAGCAGAAAATGCTCTTTAGGAAATGAGCTGGATGCCTCTGGCTCACCCAACAGCATTAGGAGAGCAAAGTGCTGCCAGAGCCTGCCCAGAATGACTTGCTTTTTGCTGCACTATTTATTATTTATTTATTCCCAACAGCTCTGGTGAAATGAGAGTGCAAAGGTCCCCAGGCACTCAGGAGTTAAAAATCACCCAGACAAGGCTCCCTTTGGTTTGATGTGGCAGCAGCTGCACGTGGAGTTTCATAATTCCTGTCTTTTAAATGATCACTGCACTTCAGTGACTGCAAAGGGATATTTAAAATGGTCTTTTCACACTGTATCGCTCATTCCACAGAGCTTAACAAATCATAAAAGTAATAATGGCAAGGTACAGATTTTATCTGATTGGCTTTTCTGTCCCCGGTTCAAAACAGGATTTCATGATTTGCACAGAGCAGCAAATAAATCTGCCTCTCACAGGGCTGAAAGGAGGCTGTGTCCTGACACACCTCAGCATCCTTCAATATTTAATGCTGTTACTTAACAATCTTTTGCTGAAAGAAAAAGCTTTTCTCACTGCAGAGCTTCTCAACAGTGGTGATTTTTCTCTTTCCTTCTGGAAAAATGTCATAAGAAGTGTTAATATTTTATCAGGCTGCTGTTGGACTGACAGCACTGCCTCTGTGTTCTCAGCACACACCTTCCTGAAAGCAGTCTGGAGATGGCTGGGGGCTGAGCATGGTTCTGAACACAGAAAACTGGTGAAAGATTAACTATTTAAAAACACACGTTTTGTAATGTATCATAGACAGTGTCATAGCAAACTCATCACAGGTATAACCCAAGCTGAATCAAGCTGCCAGGAAACATAAATTGTTCATTGTTGCTCAGATCCCAGTGACAATATCATACTGCAGGCATGAGCAAGAAAACTAAAATGAGCCCTGGAGAAGTTGGGATAGTTTCTGTGTTCCTGTCAGAAAAGAGCAGTTTACAGGAAAGGGAAAACCCAACATTTTTGGGCTATTTAAAGAGCGATAATAGAATTGCAGGACCTGATCTGTGAGGTGTGGTGCCACAGGGGCTTTGAAAAGGGGCTGCTAATTGTTCTGAAAGGCCTTTGTTGTAGTCAGTGCCTGTTTTTTGGACAATCCGGGAACTCCTGGGAGGTCAGAGTCTCGCCTGGCCTGACAGCGCTCCGGGCAGGGGTGGCTGAGGGAGGGGAGGGTCCCCAGGGAGCTGTGCCAGGCTGGCAGGAGCTGCCACAGTGCAGAGGCTTTTCTTCCTGCTCAGTAATAAAGCTGGGAATGTTTTACCTCGCTTAGCTCGTGAGCAGTCCAAATACCATGAGATTTGTTCTGCATTTGGACTGCATGTTCTGTCTGGGATTGCTCTGAGGAGTGTGGTGCTGAGAATCCCGGGCAGACAAGCCTGGGGAGAACTGCAGAACAGAGAAAGGGGGGGATAAAAGAAACCTGAAACCTTTCTGGAGTTAAAGTTGCTCCAGTTTGCACCGTGCCAGGCTCACTGAGCAGTGGGTGAGTCCCATCTGAGTGTGCCACTCACCTGTGGGGGAGTGGGGGTGAGGGAGAGCCTCCAGCAGACCTGGAGATGGGATCTGGGGATGGACTCCCACGCAGGAGCTTTGCACACCTTCCCTGGGAACACAGGTGAGTCACACAGTCACACTGCCTGAGTCAGGCCCACAGCCTTTAATCTCCGGGGCATCTCCCCTGCAATGCTGCCCCTCCTGTTCCTCTCCACAGGCCACCTCAGGGACTCACAGCTCTCCCTAACGCTCCCTGGACTGTTCACCCCTTGAGGGAGGAAAAAGAAAATCCCAAAAGACCGGTGTAATTAACATCCAGGCTCATCTCACTGGGTATCTGCACGCAGCCAGTGTGAAACATGACTTCCTTCTGTTGGTTTCTTTATAATTTTAACTATTTCATTTGACTTCTCCTGGTTCTGATATTATGGGGAATAGGGGACAATTCTCAGCTGTTCATCTTCTCCAGAGATTTGTGCTTTTATTGACCTGTAACCCCTTCTTCAGTCCCTTCCCAGGCTGTGGAGCTGTAGCACACCCAGTTCCTCCAAAGCTCAACAGCTCTCCTTAAACTTGTGGGGCCTTTAGACTTACCTTTCAAACAATCCATTTCAGCATTTGGGGCTCTAAGCAGTGACTTTGCAACTCCCCATCCTCTTCTTCCCCCTCCCGGTGGCTCTTTGGGAATAAGAGCCTGAAATGTGCTTGCTGAGGGCACAATTCCACAGCCAGGATCCTGCAAGGACAGGTTTGGCTGGCGTTAGCCACAGTGAAAATCCCGAGCCAATGCTTTTGGGAAGGAGGCAGGAAGGAAGAGAGGGGTCAGCTGGAGCTCTGGAGCCCTGCCCGTGGGAAGAGGAACACGTCACTTTATGTCTCATGGAAGTTGCCAGATCGCTGCCTATACTGCTCATTCTCTTCAGGGTTATCAGCAGGGAATGTGCACTAAAATCCCTCTCTGCAGACCTTTCAGGTGTTCAAGGTGGGGAGCCCAACCTTCCCAAATCCTCTGTCCTCCCTGCCCCGAGCAGCAATCAGCACACCCACCCCACCCTGTGGAATTCCAAGACAGGCATGCATATCTCTTGTTTCAGGGCGGGGATTTCTCCCGCATTTTGGGTTTCACAACCCCACTGTTTGGGTTGCAGCTGACAATCATTTCTCCTCCTGTGTCTGCAGGGCATGGAATGGCTTCTCCCATTCTGAATGCCAAGGGCAGCACAGGCGCTTTGGGGAGGTTTACCCAAGTTAGGACAAGTCCTTCTCTTCCTCCTGGGAGGTTTTGAAAGCACAGGGGTGGCTTTTTCTCACACCAGCTGCTGCAAGGGAAATTGTTATTCTCAGCCTATCACACCTGATAACATCTTCCACCTCACTCCTCATGTCCAGCTGGGACTGTGGGAGTAATGGTCAGCACGCACAGGGACTCCCCAAAACAGCAGGGAGGAGGGATAACAGTCAGACAGGTCAGACTGTCCATTTCCATCCACTCCCATCTACTCAGGAATGCAGAACACAGTGGTACCTCTGTGAGAAGCGTAGAGATTGATGGGGAAAGTCATGGAAGCTGAAGCTAGGAAAGATAATTTGATAACCCAGCCCTCCTTGCGGTGATGTCAGCTTCCATTAATGGAAGGGGGCTGTCTCTACTTTTAATGTCATATTTGTAAAGGATTCGCTTGTTTACCTCAAATTCAGATGATCTTGGGTGTTTGCTTCACTTAGAATTCAAGGCAGCTCAAAGTCACAGTCCCACCTGCTTGAGCCTGAAGGAGGAGCAGCAGTGACCTTTAGGCCCTGGAAAGTGTGAAAAACATACAATTAATAACAAGCAAACTACTTCAGGAGGGTTTGGCAAGACATTTCAGGTCCCCCATCTTTTCCCCTGTGCAAAAGAGAGGGGTTTGATCTCCCTTTCTCGAAAGCAGCCACGTGCCTTACCATTTCTGTGCCTTCATTTGGGGGTGTGAACCCAGACAACACTGCCAGAGGTGTTCCTGAGCAGAGGGATAACACCCTGCTCCTTAACAACTTCCAGCCACTGTTCAGTGGTCCCAGTTGGGTTGGTGTGGCTTTTCCACCCTTCTGTGCACTGAAGCACAGCAAGCTGTCCCAGCTCAGGTGATTGACTGAGCTTCCCGAGGAGCTGAGCCCACGGGAATCCCGTGGCAATGGATACTGCTGCAGTAATGCTGCAGAATGTCAAACAACGTGTCGGTGTTTCCACGGGGCTTCCACCAGGGAGACTGCAGCAGGCAAGTGAATCAGTCATCTGGAGGTGAGGGAATTCTCCTTATAAACAGTTCCCTGGCAGGCGGAGGGGGTGGCAGAAATACCGTTGATGTGCAAAACAGAGCTGGAATATTTCCTTCCCTCTGTTCTCTCCCCTGTTTGTCCATTGTCAGCTCCAGCTGCCCAACATCTCCCCACAGACTGGGGATGCTTTGGGAGGAGGAGGAGAGTCTCTTTTCAAAACACAGATTCAGAGCCGCCTAATAATTAATTACTTAGGATTAACAGTACAAGAGAGCTAAGAAAATGCATATTCCAAAATAGCCCTGGAAGCACTCACAGTCCGTCTGTCAAGGGGCCCAGCAAGGCTGGAAAGCCCACATGGGACCCTTGCCCAGCATCCCCCGGCTGGACAGGCTGAGCAGCAGCGAGGAGGGAAGACGGAGAGGGAACAAACAAAACAGAGCAGAGGGAATTGAGAGGAAGGGATTAGTTAGAGGAGCACTGGGAGGAGTGTAGTGAGCAAAAGGGTGAGTAGGAGGGAAATGAATCTGAGCTGTAGGCGGGTGAGAGGTACATAAAGCCATGAAGATGATACCAGATTAGAGTCATGAGTCAAACACTGAGGCATGAAACAAGTCTACAAAGGGTATCCCAGATCCTTCTAATTCACACAAAAACTTTTGTGCAGACAACCCACCCTAACCCCCTGCCAGAGATCTGTAACACAAAGCCAGTGTCCATGCAGTGGGCTCAGTAATGCTCACGGCTGAGTCACCTCCTGATGCACGTCTGGGAGGTCTGCTGGTGACACAGGTTCCAAATGGGCCCCAAATACAGCAAAGGAAAAGTGTGGGATTAAGTATTTTCAAAATCATTTTTGCACAAGTCTTACCTGGAAGAGGAGGAATTTGTATGGTTCATGCTTACAGAGCAAATTTAGGCTCTGAAAAGGAAGCATTTCAATCCAGCCAGGCTGTGAATTACACTCACGGACATTTTCCCTTAATCGAGCACGCAGGGAGTTAAAACGTTTACACTGGCAAACAAAAACAGCCAACACCAGATTATTGCAACCTGTGATGTTTTCTCTTGCCTTAAAACCTTATCTGACTTTATACTTATTTCTGTAAGATTACACCTCTTTATAGCACCCTCTAAACCTCTTGGCCTCACAGATGAAATTCGGTCCTGACTGGCTGAACGTCACGTGGAGACTGTTCTGGCGCTTCCATATTCATCTCCATCTGCTGTGCTGGGAGGGAGAGCCAGCAGGACGCAGGGAGTGACACCTCCTCTTGCCAGAAGACCCTCCAGGTAGCAGTCAATGCCAGTGGCTCTCCGGGGAGGGGATCACACACCTCATGGACTCAAACCACCCTCAGAAGAGCAACCTCCTCCTCTGACATGGTAAATCTTCAGCATCAAGAGAGCTGTACAGATCCGTTAGAAACACCGAGTCCTGAGGCTACCTGAGGCTCAGCATTTCTCTGCCAGACAAACACATTCTGCTTGTCTGCTCATTAATTCTGAACACAGCCGTTTCTGCTGACACTCGAGGGATGGCAGCACATGGCACAGGGGAGCTGGGGACAGCACAGCTCAATCCACCCTGGTCAGGCTCCTCGGAGCTTCTCTGCCAGACAGCAATTTGCAGCAACTCTGAGAGCAAGCTGGTTGCCATTTGCATGCTGCCAAAAGGATAGGAAACAGTAATCAAGCAGAACCCAAATGTGCTGTTCACTCGAGGATACAGGTTGAACACTACAGGGAACCCCATCCCCAGCCTCCCAGGCAGGAGTCAGGAGCAGCTCTCCAGAGATGCGCTACATTTTCTGGAGTAAGGCCGATAACGTGGCATCTGTGGGAGCCTGTGCAGCTACCGCTCTTGCTGAGTGGGAGGAGGATTAGCAGAGAGAGAAGGAGCCACGAGTGGAGGCATTCCATGTTGTCAAAGCTCGAGCTCGTGTAACTCCGTGGATGGCTGCACGTCCCGACGGAGTCCCCGCGGATGGCAGTGGGGCTGTGCCCCGAGTCTGAGCAGCCACAGCTGGATGCATCTTCCTGTGGGCACACCCCATCCTAGAAATATATTATGGAATGGTTTGGGGTCCAAATCGCAGCATTTTTGGAGAAGCTGCACAAATAGACCACCATACATGAAGTGTAAATCCCATTTACCAGCGATGCAGTGCTTGGGCATTTCCACTGTGCTTACTTCAGGGCTTAATCAAATGAATGCTATCACCACCTAATATCATTCATCAGCCATTTTAAGCTGTAATGGGGGTTTAAAGTAGGATGAGTGGATGAATTTCTAGTTAGCTCATGCTTCTCTGCATATTAATTTTGAGTCTTGAATAGAACCATAAAATATCCTGAGCTGGAAGGGACCCACGGGGATCAGCAAAGTCCAGCTCCTGGTTGGCCAGTACAACCTCTCCCTCCCCCCTTCTGGTTTAAATCAGCCTTTCCCACAGCTCCACAGGAGCTCTGCTTTGTGATTTCCCTGGAATAATTTCCCCTTAGTTTCAGACTTCCAGCCATGTCTATAGGGAACAGCATTTTAACTTCATAAGGCACTTTTCTTGGTGCACAGCAAGAGGACAAATACCAAAATAATTTCTTTTCCCTGTGTATAGACAGCCTGCAAATGAACCACGGAAGCTGTAAGCCAGGAAAAGAAGAAGGATGCTGTGACAAGTTTTTCAGGAAGACTGTATGTGGCCACTTCATTGTAAAGCCTCTAAAATATATAAATACATATATATATACACACACAGCCTGGCTGTTGGTGCAGGCCCACTCAGGAACATGTTACATAAAATGACGCTGAGAGGTGGCTAAAAGCAGCCACTTCCCTCCAAAACAAACAGACTGACTCACTTTCACATGTCTCTGGGAGAACAGGGGATGCTGCCGTGATGGAGAAGTCCTGTGGATCCAGGGGAGGGCTGTTCCCAGCAGAGCTGTGCGGTCCCAGGGCAGGACCTGGCTGCTTACAAGCACCAGTGGTTCCTCACCTGTTCCCACGGCCCACGTGTCCAGGGAGCCCCTGCTGGAACTCTGGCCACAGAGCTGGGTGTCCTCCTCACAAACTGCTCCTGCAACAGAGGAAGAAACAACAACCCACAGAACCCACTGTTCCTGTCGTGTCTTAACCCTGTGCTTCCCTGCCCTTGCAGGAGAGTGGCTGTATAATCCATCAGGAGCATCTGGATGCGTAGCCTGCAGCCACAGCTTGTCCTTGGTGTTCTTCCTTTCTTCTCCCTCATTGTATTCCCTGCCTGCTGGAGTGCACAGCAGCATTTCAGTCACTGGAATCACTTGACTAGAACACATCTCTTGGAATTGCTTCAGAGATGATTTAATCTTTGTACAGTGCTTTGAATAGTAAGGAATATTATAACCCCATGCCTTCTCCTGTAAGGCCTTGCTATAACACCTCCTTTCTCCTGGGGGATTCCCCTGCTACTGAGAGATTTTATGGAATTATGGCTAGGATTGCCTGGCAATTTCTCCATGTTTTTATCAGGCCAGCCAGTCAGGAGAACACTGATGACCAGCGTGCATGAGCTGGACTTACATCCCAAAGTAAACCCCACACAAAGGACTCTGAGTAATGTTGTAGCAATTCCTGATCACAGAAGTGCCTCCAGGGATGGCCTTTGTGAGCCACAGAAAATAATAGCAGGGGTTTGTTGCTGCCTTAGTCAAGGCATACATTCCCTTCCCTCAGAAAGTATGAAAGCAGCAAATTACCCCAAATGGGCCCAGTTTTGTGCAGCCAACAATGCAAGTCATGAAATCAATAATATCCCAAAACAATTGCTCAGAGCTGAACAATGGGATACACTGGGTGAAAGCCAAGCAGGAATAATGCTCCCTTAGGGAAAGACTCATCACAAATCACAGGAGACAGCTCACTGTACAGATTGCAGCAAGGAAGAGTGACAGCAGAAAAGCCTGAATTTTGATTTGTGGCAACACAGACTCACAGGGAGAAACAAATACAAAATAAACCTTCTACTGAAAAAAAAAAAAAAAAACCAACAAAAAAAAAGGTGACTTCCTAAGTGTGCTCTGATGGGAACATTTCAGTGTTCAAAAGGGTCCAGAGACCAATCTGTGGGCAAAACTCACCTTCCAGCTGAAATTCCAAATGGGAATCTGGGAAGGAATGAAGTGCTTGAACTCCTGCACGGCTACAGGACTGAATCAGTTCAGCTCTCCTGGGGAAAAGAGAGAGGGAATTCAGAAAGCAAACACGATGGTAACAGGCACAGAAATCATCAGGTCACTCGCTTTTTAGTTCCTTGGGTTTCTCCTTCATTGTCAAACATCCCTGTGAAAGTGTGAGTGTGTTATTGAAGCAACAGCATTTGTGATTCCCAGAGCCCAGTCACTCACCAAGCACAGTAACAGCTGAACCTAGAGCTGAAACGTATCCCTTTTTCCCTTGCCTCCCATTCCTCAGCTAATCCTGAGTGATTAGATCACGTAGCACGTAGATCTACCGCTATAAGAGCAAAATGTGCTCTGTAAGGAACTGCAGCAATCTCGGAGCCAGCAAATCAGTCCACGCTGTTCCACAGAGCTCGCGCCGGGAATTCCGCGGAGTGGTTCCCCATCTGTTGGCAGGAGCAAGGAGTAACAGCGGAGCTCATCGGGAAAACAGATTCAGAAGGAGTCAAGGGCTCCTTCTGTGTCCGTCGGGAACGCTGACCCCTGGTTGACTTGGGGGAAAAGGGTGCTCTCCGCACGGGAAACATCCCTGCCGTGCTTGGTGCGAAGAGAAACAGCAGCCGGGACTTGTACAAAATCCACGTGTATTGGTTTGATGGATCACAGCCAGAAAGGGAAGGCACAGGAAACAACATTTGTGGAACAGTCGGGGTAGGAAAAACCTCCCCACGTCTCTATCTACGCCAGGAATTTGCATTAGGATTTCTTTCTGTCCATAACCACGAGAACAGCCCTCAAGCCAGGGAATAACGAGGCACGCTCCGAGCGCAGTTTAGCAGGCACTGCTCCGACTCTGTGGAATTCCCTGCCGAGCTGCACTAACCCCAACCCCGCTAATTAACAATGCAATTGGGAAGGAGCCTCATTTGAAGCTCAGCTCGCTCCAGCAAGTGCCAAACAGGAGGCAGGAAAGTACCTGGGCAGAGAAAACCTTCCGGGGAAACCGTGTACAAACACACGACTCACCTGCCAATCTCGTATTAGAAGTTTTGAGGTCCTGGCACAAAGTGAAACCCCCCGTTCTGTTCCACCTGCAATCACATCACTGTGTGGAGAGGCACGAGGGCACAGGTATCCATCCCTCTGCCCTGAGAGCAATCTCCAGAGTTCTGCCTGCTATTGATTTGTTGGTTCCTTCACTTTTAAATATTGACTTGAGGAAACTGAAGCCTCCAAAAGATGTGGACTCAGCCTCTTTGACACCTTGGCCTGTGCATGCTGCTACCTTGTGAAAACTGAGGTCGAAGCCAAGTGTTCAGTCCGGGACAGGAATTAATGTCCTGGACAGAAATGAATTGTCAAAGGCACAAGTAACCTCTGCTGCTTTGTTAAGCTGAAATGTTCCTATTTTTTAATTAACTTTGATTTTTTTTTCCAGTGTGAGGAATTCGAGGCAGGCAGTAAAAGAGAAAAGTGCTGAAAGACACAGCTCTGGAACCCAGCACCACATTTTAGGTCTAGGAAAAACAAGTCTGTTTGAACAAGACTGTTTTTCCTGGCACAGGAAAATTGAGTATTGTTGCTGCTGAAAAATAAACCAGGTGATCTCTCCTATACCTGTCAGTCCAAAACAAAGATCACTTTTAGTACAGAGCACCAGCCCATCATCACTTTAAGAGACAGTGAATATTTTCCATTTTTTCCTCTTTAATCAGATCAGTAACCATGCCTGCACTTCACTTGCCCTAAATTGCATTATTTGTGAACAAAAGTGCATATGGTAGAGCTGCATTACTGCCACCCCTAAACATAACCACTTTATCTGTTAATAAATGAGCAAAACTATCACTCTTAGTCTTAGCAATACCACTCCTGAGCGTTCCCTAACTCTCCAGTCCTTCCTCAAAAAGATTTGGGAAGACCACTCGGACCCTTCAAAAAGCCAAAAGCTTAAAATCCTGTACCCCTTCCAAAGCTGCACAGTCCAGTAGGTAAAGAGGGATAAAACAAACCCTGTGACTTAAAACACCGCCAGGAGGGAGGTCCCACCTATCGCCAAAGCTGTGCGTCCTTCCCGCGGGCTGAGGCAGGAGCAGGGATCCCCCGAGCCCCCTGCCCGTCGGCCGGGGGGTGCTCCGGCCCCTCCCGGGGGTGCCAGCAGCCCGGAGGGCCCCGAGCGGGGAGGCTGCGGCGGGAGCGGCCCCACCGTGTCGTGCCGGGGCTGGACACGGGGCCGGGCCGGGCGGCCCCTCCCCTGCTCCCCGCCCGGCGAACCGGGGGAACCCGTCGGGCCGGTCTGGCGGCGGCTCCCGGGCAGCGCGGGAGGCGCCGGGCGCGGAGCGGGGACCGCGGGCACAGGTGGGGCCGGGCCGGGGGCTCCGCCGAGGGGCGGCTGCGGGGCGGGGGCTGCCGGGGCTGCGGGGCCGCTCCCCCCGTACCTGCGGGGCCGGCGGCGCGGGGGGCGCGGTCCGTCCATCGCCTCCGGGTCCGTCCATCGCCCCCTCTGCAGGTGTGGCGTCCGGCGGGCAGGGGGTCGGGGCAGGGCTGTGTCCCATCCCGTCCCGCCGCACGGGAGGGGTTGGGGGTCGGGGCAGGGCTGTGTCCCATCCCGTCCCGCCGCACAGTGAGGGGCCGGGGGTCGGGGCAGGGCTGTGTCCCATCCCGTCCCGCTGCACAGGAGGGGCCGGGGCTGACGTCGGGCGCACCCGGAACGCTTTCCCTTCCCCACCCTTCCCAGAACATCACCTGCCGGGAGCGGGTGGCAGCCCGTGCCCCGCGGGACGGCGTGTCCGGCGACAGAACCCGCACCCCGCGGGGATCCCGCGGGATGCGCGGCCGGTGATCCCGGGTTTAGCGGGAGCCTCCAGCCGGGAGGTTTAAGGAGAGCGCGGGAGGTTGTGGGAGCTGAGGTAAGGCACGGCACGGGCTGTCCGTGTCTCCGAGCCCCGCCGGGCACCGACTCAGTCTCGTGGCCTTGGGCTACTTGCCCTGCTCCCCGCTTTTTCTCCCCCGTATCTATAAATGATGAAAACAGCCTTCAGGGCTGCGGGGTGATTACTTATTAGTCAATGTTTATACATCCCTCAGAGCAGCGACAGGTGGCTGCATAAGGAACACTAATTCTGCAACAGAAAATCCTGGCAAAGTTACTTGTGAGATCAGCGATTCGCTTGGAAAGCATATTTTGACCTCAAAGAAAATCGTTGTCTTGGTCCTGTTACCTCCTGGTTGGTGCCTATCGCTTCAAGAGCATCCCCTCCTCGGAGTGGGGATGGAGCTGTGCTAAATGGAGCAGCTAATGGAGCATTTCAGCGCGGCTCGGGTATCAGCAGGAGCCGTTTGAAACCCAAGAGGCCGAGCTGTGCAGGGAGCCCTGGAACAGCACTGGGTGGTTGATCTCTGCTCCCAGGGGTCTGGGGGTGGATGGTGTGGAGAACCAGGACTGGGTGGGTGGGATTTGGGATGACCTGGTCCTTGAGCTGCCACCGCCTGTGTCATTTTGTGGTTTCTCCATTGGTGTTCATGTTAGAGCATGGATGCTTTTGTACCTGTCCCAGGCCTGTGTTTGTGTCTATTTCCACTAACTTCTAAACTGTTCTCCCTTGATTCTGCCAGGTGAGACAGCCTGTCAGTTTGCTTTGCAGTTTGGGATGGTGAATTCCAAAAGCCACTCGCTCTCTTTGCACCAAAGCTATTTTTAAATGAGCCACAAAGTATTTCCCTGCTCTGCTGGTGCTGGGGTTGTTGTTTGAGGGCAGAGGAATCTCCTCAGCCTGAGTACTGAAATGTGGGGAGGGGTGGATTGGTGGTGTTACAGGTCTGAGGGGCTGTGATGTTCCTCCCAGCCTCTGGTAAATGAGATGCTTTGTGCAGCTGTAACTGAATGCAGGATGTTGGCCAGCACCTTCTGAAACCCAACCCCGGCCCTGTCAGTGACTCACCCGCTGGCCTGGGGCAAATCACTTACCCTCTCTTGTCGTGGTTCTCATTAGGGCCCGATGGTGCAGGAGCTCTCAGGTGCTGTGCTGTGACACCTCTGCTTTTTGGCAGGCTCCACAACTCCTCCGTCACGCACCGCGGGTTCTCCTCACGTGTTCCTGTAGAAATGAGAAACATGCTTTAAATGTGATAGCAGAGATGGCAATTGGAGCAATTCATGGATGCTCTTGGTTACAAACTGCTGTCCAGTGAGGCACAGGGAGATGTCCAACTAAAGCCTGTGAAAAAGGGGGGGAATGATAAGCAATGTAGACAAAACAGGATACAAATCAAGGAAAGGACTATTGGCCAAAGTGACTTTGTGCCTGAGAGGAGGCAGAGGAGCAGTATGAAAGGGTTTGGAGAACTAACCAGAAATCTCTCTTTGTCTTTGCAAGGTAAATTAATGTCACGGTTTGCCTAAAGAATGTTTTTGTTATCGCGTGCACATGAGGTGGAAGTCAGCCAAGAAACCATTTTCTACCTTGTTTTGTTGCAGATGGAGCCTGATTTGAAGCAGGACACAGGATCCTCCAGAGGCAGCCGGTGTCAGCACCTGTAATGCAGCTTCTGCTTCAGCCACCCACTCCATTGGATAAAGGTCAGTTTAGGAAAACAGCTCCAGTGTCCACTGTTGGTGCTGCCAGAAAAGGAATGTTCCTGTAATCTCCAACCTTGGGAGCAGGAAGTAACCTTTGTTTTTTCCAGCTAAAAGTGCCTGCTGGTTTTGATGGGGAGGGCGATATGTAGGAAAAGAACTCTATTTATAACGTTCCAAAAGTCTTCTACGCCAAACAATGCTGTTTGAGTGTGCCCCAAAATAATTCTTATTCCTTTATTAACCCCAAGACAGGCTGTTGTATAACATGAACCTTGAGAGCAACATAACAGCCTCTAAAAGGCAAGTTGAAACCCCTTGAGAGTGCACTGGAACCTGCAGCTTGAGCAAAGGTTACCAGCTGTCTTATCTTCTGCAAAGATAGCGAGTCTTGCCTTGGACTTTAAATGATGGGACTCTGCAAATCTGTTAATGAGAAATCCTAGGGCAGATAATGGGCAAAACGATTTTGTTTCTGCAGTGGCCCATCTTCAGCCATCCCTGTGCAGCCTCAGGCAGCTGGGCCTGTAGGCTGTGGGTCTCTCTGTTGGGATGTCTTTGTGTGATACATCCTGGATCACAAGCTATGTTATTTTTTCTGGCTTCGAGTGCACAGTGCCCTCGGTTGGCCCAGAGGAGCTGATGTTTCAGTCTGGGGTTCAGTTCGCACTGAAGGTACTGATGGAGACTGCTGGGATGAACAAGAACCTGTCTCCAGCCTCAGCTGGCTCCAAGTTGGTA